AATTGGTGTGAACGTGGTATGAGTGTAGCTTTAACCACACAGTGGCATGACATTTACTATTTTATGTAATTAACCTCAGAAAATCAACAAAAAACAAATCTGTTAAAGGAAAATGCTTTAGAAAAAAGAAACTCTTCCAGCTTCTCTCACTGCTACTTCTATAGGAGTGAAATTCACCCATTAGAATATATCAGGGGCTGTGGCATAGTTTGACTGCTAGGTTAATCTTTGTCACCCTGTGATGGACTGGCGTTCTGTCCAAGGAGGAGCCCACCTTTTTGCCCAATGACTGCTGAAGACAGAAACTAGAAGCACTGAGACCCTGATGGATTAGGCAGGTGAAGGTGAATGGATGGGAAAATATAAGTTTGGCTTTTCTATGCTTAAGACTGAAGCCACTGTTATATTTTCCCTTAAATGACTTTAAATCAGTCTAGCTTTTTTTTTTTTTTTTTCAAATATCCCAAATTCTGTTCTAATATTTGAATTACAAGTAAAACTGTTTCCTCCATTTTCTTTCGTTTTAAGAGCACTTTTAAACTCAGTCCCATCAGTGGATCTAGCTGCTTCTCTCAGTCTTTGTTCAGTTTCTTGTTCTAACAACCAAACTGAAGTCCAGGAGGGACAGAACCCCTCAGTTCATGGCATCCAGGCTGTGGAGGGGTCTAACTCCACGGAGCGTCTAGATGACTTCTGCTGAGTTCTTGTTTTTCACTTATTGTGCATTTTATTAAGTGCTATTTAATATCTATGTAAAGTTTGCTTTAGTGGTTATCTGAAACTTGGAACCTCTCTCCCTCCCCACCAGTTTCTGCCCATCAGCCTTTTATTGGGTCAGTTTGCTGGAAATGTTCCAGTTTGATGACATGGTGCAGAGTTTCATGTTTCCCATGTCTATCTGTGGAGGTTTTTGATTTACAACCTGAAAAGTTTGGTCATTGAAAAACATAATCCGTCTTTTTTCCACTCTATGTTTATTTGTTTAATTTAGTTGTATTTATTGTTTTTTACTGTACTTATTGTTTTATAAATATGATTTAAAATCCTAGTCCACAAGCATCCTCATTCACATTTTCCTTTAAATTTTCCCATTATGATACATGTTTACATTTTTATTGGCTGCATCTGAAAACATCAAAGATAATTTCAATTTAAACATAGATATAAAATAATAGAATATAACCTCCAATAGTTTCAATGATATCATTGTTCTAGGTCATCCAATCAATTCAGTTTAGTCTGTCCAATCAGCTGCCTGTACTGTCTTTAAATGTCCAGCAGGTGGCAGTATTATGTCAGACAGCATCAATGCAGCCTTCAAGATGCCTCATTAACCATCACTAGTCAGTAACCATCACTAGTCATTAACCATCACTACTTACATGTAGTTTAACTATTTGATTCAGGACATCAGGTTTTAACTTCTAATGGCAGCATGGGGAGTTTAAGCCAATAACAGACATTATTTGACTAATAAAATGTAACTACATGAAAGTTTGCACAGCAAGTATTAGAGCCAACTGTTCTTTGGCTGAGGAACAGAACATGGGTTTGTTCTGCTCAGTGCACTGAGAAGACCAGGACTTTTATGATGTAGCTACTTTAAAATTCAAGCATTTTATTTTCATAAAAAAATAGAAAATAAAAAAATAAAGTTTTAATTCAAGTAAAGCATAAATACGTTGATTCCTCCTGAATCATTTAGCTGAAAACAGAAAGATTTGATTCGCTTCCAGGGAGCTGTGCTTTGCTGCAATCTTAATCTGACCTGGATTAAAGCCAGAATTCATCCCAATTCAGCTTTTGTTTTCCTACTGGCATGTGTGTAGTAAAGGGAAACCCATCATTTGTGTTTTTATTGCTTTCTAATGTTGCTTCACCGTTAGATTTGTTCCAATAACACCCAGCTTGAATGTTTTTCACCTGGTTCAGAGCTTTTAGTGGACTGAACGAATTCTCTGGGCAGGAAGCCTTCATTTCCTCCACAGGCCTAAATGAATTACATCGCCGCAGGTTTCAGAGCATCTGCATCATTTATTTGAACAATTACATTTTCTCCGGGACTGACAATATTCTTACCCCTCAAGAGGTAAAATCACAGCAGCTGTGTAGACATTAATTTATAAAGAATGATTGATGATTATTAAGCCAGTGTCCAGCCTGCGTTCTTTTATACCAGGTAATAGGTTTATAAAATAAACCATTATCAAGTTTGGTGCTTATATAAAGACTTCATTCCTGGTTTCTTGTCTCGTGATAGTGGAGCAAACCTTGCTGTGCAATAATTTGGAGACTGCACTGAGGTTCCAACCTTCACTTACAGTCTAATTTTAAAGTGTATTTTAAGAAAAACATGTATCTGAATCCTAGTGACCTCTGCAGGGCGGCCCCACTGTGACCCTGATGAAATACGCTGGAGAAGATGGATGGATGGATGGATGGATGGATGGATGGATGGATGGATGG